GGTGCATTATAGCAATTCATTGTCAATTACATCCGCCTATCTCAAGAAACCTATTTATCATGTAGGAATTAAATCAAGATATGTCATCCAATCAACTCGTATACAAAAACAATCTAAAATAGAATTTTCTCATACACACATGTCACATTTGCAATACATATTATGAGTCGTTTCCTGCATTACCACACAAAACCTACCTAAATTCAGAGCTCTCGTTAAACTGAATACAACTTTAGGATATGAAAAAAGAAAAGAACAAAAAAAATCCGTGTATATTGTATCTTAGAAAAGATGGGTACGAACATAATGCTATCTAATTTATCATTTACCACTAAGCGAAAAAAACATATTACATTTCAAAATGAAAATGTAACTGAAGAAAGCTAAAATCTCCACACTCCACTCACTAACCAAGAAACAATTAACTCAGCCAATACGTTTTGCATTGCCTACGTTTTCCCAGAAAAAAGATTTCCATTTTTACTTCTCCTTCCCTTTCCTCTGTTTTCCCAGAAACCAAACGGAGTGGGGTAGGCAAAAGAAACCAATTAAACCCAAGTTTAAATTACAGACGAACATTCTATTAGCAACCTCCATTACTAAATAAAGAGAAAACAAGTTTCTTATATAAGAAACGTTTCTCTTTGTAGAAAAGGAGAAGATGGTGCAAGTAAAGATTGTACCTTTGGGACGAAGATCTGGCAGCGAGTTCAGTGCGCCGAGAGAGGCGTGCGTTTATGAAGGGCTTAGCAGCAAGAAGCGGAAGTGGCCAAAGAAATTGAGTAAATGAGGAAAACCTAAAGAAAAGCAGAGAGGCAGGCAGTTATCCTCAGACACAAAGAAAGCTGCGAGCCTGCGAGTTTGGCTTGCCCTTCGGCCAGTTGACATTTCCTGGATATATATTTTTGGTTGGAAATTTTCCCTTTTTTTTTTCTTTTTTTTTTTTTATTGGAAGAATTTCCTGGATTTTAACACTTGTTATTTTGTTTATTATTAATAGGAATAATCTAATCATCAAAGGATTTCATAATATTGGTTACCAAATCATCAAGTATCATGAATTCACGGTATATCTTTTTTTTTTGGTCTGAAAAATTCACGGTATATCTTATCCATTAGAGCTGGAAGGTTATATAATGAGGTATATGTTAAATATACATCATTTGTGATTGGAATCACCTGCAATGAGGAGGTGTAAACGATTGTAAATTTACATTACAACCGTAAGATGCACATGTGCATTCTTTTTTATATCCTTACAAGTGGGGGGCCTACAAGAGAAAAAGTGTGAAATTGTGGACAAAAGTGAGCAAAATCAATTATACATCTTACCCATTGAAGTAAAAACCACATTTGCAACCCCTGGATGTTTAAAGAGGATGTAAAAGTGGCTTTACTCCCGAAAATACACATAAATAAAGAGATTTTCTATTTAAACCCCACATTTCTCTTAGTTCACCCCATGTTCTAAGTTCACCCCAACTTTTAATTTAAAATTTCACAATTTCTAAGAAAAACCCACTATCTTTCCAAATTACCCTTAAATACATCCCAAGCTAAAAAAAAAAATAATAAATAAATAAGATTTTCTATTTAAACCCCACAATTTTCTTTGTTCATCTCAATATTTAAATCATTAAACAATATTTATAGTATACATAAGATTTTGTTTGGGGTGAAAGTTTGAAGCAAAAGTAGGTGCTAGGCATTAGTTTAAGGACGGTTTGAAGGCATCAGTTTGAAGCAAAAATACATGAGATTTTCTTCTTGTGCTAGGCATCAGTTTGAAGCAAAAGTATTTGTAGTATACATGAGATTTTGTCACGACTGATCTTTCTCTTCAAGCCTTGGAAAGAATCTTCTATAGTTGTGGAACATAATCGTCTAGCCACACACGGTGCTTCAATGCATCGAATCTCAAGGATATCAAGAGTGGTGAGGAATTTGTATTTTTCTAAAACTTAATATGTAGAGTGATGGGGTGTGTGTGAATAGATGTACTAGTATTAAGTATTAAGTTGGATAACTTTTTTGTCTTTTTACACTGTAATAAAACTTACAGCTTAATGATTTAAGTATTGAGGTGAACAAAGAGAAGTGTAGGGTTTAAATAGAAAATCTCTAAATAAATGAGTCTAAAAAGTAAATAGTTAATTAATTGACAAGATAATAGGATTTAACTTGACATCTAAAGTCAATGGGGTCTAGTCCAATAGCCTTAACTTGCAGATAAGAGGTTTTAGGTTCGAACCCTATAGCATCTTAGTTGTGTATGTGTGAGAGAAATCCCCCTCCCTTTTAGTTTAGACTATCGCTTATACTAAAAAAACTTGACATCTAAAATACTGAGATTTTATTATTTTGGTAACACATCAATTGGGAACAAACTCTATTTGTATTATTGCTCATTTGTTTCTTGTTTTCTTAGGCAACACTTAACCACAAAGGAATCAAATTGAGTTACCTTGATGATGAAACCTCGAGAGTTAAAACTTAAAGATTGTAGGAATAGATTGATTTTTTTTAATTAACTCAAGGGGAAAATTCGAATTTGTGACATTTTCAAACATAGAGGAGATATACTATAATTAACTTGATTTTCTTTCAAGCGAGAGAGAACGTTAAAGGAATACAAAATGCGTTGTTGGTTGGTAAGAGCTTAGCGATTAAAGAGAAAATTGGGAGGTTCTAAAGTAGGAAATGCTAGCAAATATAGACATAGAGATATAACTAAAATTTCTTATGTCTATCTATGCAATGTTTTCTGCGTATAGACCGAGTATATTTAAAATCCTTTTTTTAAGCGTATTTCAAACAAAACAATATAAACTTTTTTTGCAACAAATAATTGAGTTCCATGCTCGGCCAAAACAAATTATGAATAACAAATGCTTTTGTGTAAAGAAAATGTTCATCCCCAATCACGAGAATTTCAAATTCATTCCGTTTTGCAAATGCTTTTGTGAATAACAAATATCGATTGCAAAGAAAACTGTAAAACTGGGCATGGGAGCAAAATAATAATTTATATGGGGCCAAAAGGTCTCTAGAGCACTAATATAGTGTCAAATTGCATACATAAAACTTGTTCAAGTTTTGGCATTGCTCAAAGCCTTGAAGATCCATAACAACTGAAGGGTTTGAGAACAGCAAATAATAATCATCCAATTTCGTAGTTACAACTCACAAGTTCAACTACCAAGGCAAACAACCTTTTTCTTCACCATACGTATATGTACATAGCTGGCCTTGCATTCATTTTACCGCACATTTTCCCTTCGGCGCACGTATCGGGTTCTGTCATTGTATCTTGGTCTGTCCTGAGCTCTCGAGGGCTGTGGCTCCACCCTCCTCTGCCTTTCAGGTGACCTTTGAACAATTTCTCCATTCACAAATAACTCAGCTGCATTAAAGAAAGTAAACAATATTTAGTTACAAGAACAAGAAGCCTTTAGAAAATCCAAGGATAATTGAGACTAATAATAAATTTAAGAATAGACATCATTTTAAAATAGGGGTGAACATGCAATGAAGCCACACTGTTTAGTAGTAAAAGGAAACAATGCAACAATGCATATGGCACCAAATCAAACAATAATATATACTCATGACAACAATGCTTGTTGATGAACCATTAAGAGTATATGGCACCAAATCGAACAAGATTTACAACTCTGAGATGATCATACTATCAAAATCACAAATTGTCACCATATGTATCCACTCCAATGATTCTGAAACTCCACAACACCCAAGAAGCAACAGAACAGGATGGAGGGAATTATTATGAGTCCATTAGCATTCAAAGCTAGACATCACCGAAGGCTACTAGCATTGCCAAGATGGACTGGGAGTTAAAAGAAAGAAAAATTCTTGTTAAATCCAGCAAACTGTCAGCAAAGATGTCTTTCTAATGATAAAGGTCACCAAATGTATCAACTCCAATGATTCCGACACTCCACAACATACAAGAAGCAACAGAACAGGATGGAGGGAATTATTATGAGTCCATTAGCATTCAAAGCTAGACATCGCCAAAGGCTATTAGCATTGCCAAGATGGACTGGGAGTTAAGGAAAGAAAACTTCTTGTTAAATCCAGAAAACTGTCACTGTCAGCAAAAATATCTTTATATTGATAAAGGTCACCAAATGTATCAACTCCAATGATTCCGAAACTCCAATATATACAAGAAGCAACAGAACAGGATGGAGGGAGTTGCTATGAGTCCATTAGCATTCAAAGCTAGACATTGCCAATTGAAGGCTATTAGCTTCGCCAAGATGGACTGGGAAGAAAGAAATATGTAAGTTAAACCGAACAAACTGTTTGGTATGGATGTCTTCTAATGTACGTTAAACCAAACAAACTGTAGGCAAGAGTAAAAATTCCTAAAATATGTTTCATCTCCCCTGATCTGCATCTCCATGAAGTATACGAAGCACAGAACAGTTAAGAGAGACATTTAATGTAAGTAAATTAGCATTCAAAGCTAAATAATGCCTCAAAGGCCTATTTAACTTCTCCAAGATGGACTGAGAATTATAAAAATAACTTTGAGGGAGCCAGAATCAATCCCTTCGCACTCTGGTTAACCCATTCTCACTGTGATGTTAAGTATCACACTGAGACAGATAAACAATGAATAAAATCTTCTAAAGCATAATACGTATGCCATTTTATCAAATGGATGGGTGAACAAAGGTGTAAAAAAACTCAAATTACTAAAACCTCAATAAGGAAATCAAATTACTTCAAGAAACTTCTTTATTCAATTGTGAGTACAAGAGGTTTTAAATAAGAGAACATGATATCTGAAGACGCATAAGTGGTTAACCATTAAATCCTTAAAAAAGACTTACCCCCGTAGTCTTTATATTCGGGATCAACATATGAATCCGGAAGCACAAAAAGAACACCAGGCATGCCTGAAAAGAATGAAAACAAAGAGATGTACACTCATGATCACATAAACACATATAAATAGTTTGTATAATCACTCAGAAACAGGTAGCTAAAACATCAATGCAATTTAAAAACACTGACCTTCAAGCTTATTCGAGGTCTCCTCGTCAATCTCACAACCAAAACCAAAATACCTCTCGCAGGACACATTGTAAATTTTCTTCTTCGCCTCTTCCTCGCTGTCAGATCACAAGAAGCAACAAAACAACAAAAGATTAACGCATACAAACACCCACGATGCAAAAACATTAAAATTCGCTTATTCAATTACAATTGCAAACACATTTAATTACAGCTACGAACAAATAAAATTTCTTTTTTTAAACTAAGAAATTCAAACAAGTACACTACAAAAACATTTCAGATATATAAGAAAATCTTTTTTTTTCCTGATTACATTTCCATCATTTTCCTACTAATCAAACTCGAAATCAAAGAATCATTACCTCCCAAGGATTTTAGCCAGGGTCTGAACATAGCAATCGATCATCTGCTGCTTTGTAGCACCCTCACCTCCGGGCTTGTCCATGACTATGAGCCAGTGCTCGTAGTCGCATCCCGGGAAAAGCGGGGCCATTTCAGTGGGTGGACGGTCACTGAAGTTTGAACCGGAGTTGAGAGGCGATGGGGGGGGGGAAGCGGACGGCATGCGAGAGAGGGGCGAGAGAGCGACGGCCGAGTATAAGAGATGGGACGGAGGGAGGTTGGGTGAGTTTGGATGTGGAGAAGAGACGTTTGGGTACGAGGAGAGAGATTGTGGAGTGGCGAGAGGCGGTGGTGGTGGTTGCGGCGGCGGCCATGGCAATGGCTCGGACTAGGGTTTGAACCATTTTTGGGTAAATGGGACTGAGGGAGAGCGAGAGTGAGGAAATCAGATGAGGTTTTAGGGTGCCAGGGCATAAGGGTATGAGGAAGTATTTATCTCTGTTTTTAGGAATTTTGGGTTGGGCCAAACTTTCTGGGCATTGGTGATGAAGATCAAAATAAGCCCATCTTCTGCTTCTCACTAGCCCATATATGAAAGGGTTTGATTCTCACTAGCCCATATATTTTCCTGAGTAAAAAGTTAAGAGTAAGATTAACAGTCAGATCTTTCTAGTGGTATATAGAGTGAAATTATCTTGAAGATGATATGCGTTTAATTTAGTAACAACGTGATTTTGTATTGCATATATAGGTTAGGTCAGTTGGTTAAAGCAGTACTGAGTTCGTCCTCTTACATTCAAGTTCGAATCTCATTTTGCATTAAATTAGATTAATTTAAAGTAATATAGACTATCGCTTATACAAAAGAAGAAAAAAAATCGCGGTTTTGAAGTATTTAATCGGCATGATACTCAATAGAGACATTGTGCTCTTAATTAGTATAACTCCTTTTGTGTGAATAATCTTCCATGAGGAAATCATTCCTCCACCTAATAACTAAAGAGTAATTTTACATGATGACATAAATTTATACTACAATAAATAATAGTGAGCACGCATGTGGTATTAAGCAACGATATTGAACAATCACCACATTTGGTAACAAGAAATAAGCAATGATGTATTTGCCTAGTAATTTTTATTTTACGCTACTGTCGGCACATTTAATTCTATCAAGGACAAAAAGTGATCGCATAGTTAGGTCCACCAGTACATGTGAAAGTGCTAGTTTTATCATCAAAAGCATAACTATAAGCTTGAGGGCACTGGCTCTTGAATATCTTTGAATAATCGGTAGGAGGGCATGCATCAGGGCTCCCGAATGTGCCGGTGCAACAATAATCCGGCCGGTTGAAAGCCAAACATGCACTTTTGCATGCAATCACACCGCCATCTGACCCTTTTACGGCCAACTCTGCCGGGCAAACACTATTGACATTAGCTGGGCAGCTTGTGGCGCTACATCCACCAGACCCTCCTTGTGGGGCTAATTCGAGAGGCACGTTGAAGCCGTCAACGAGACTAACATCGTAGAAATCTTGCCCTCCACCCGGGGCTAGAGTTAATTCTATCAACGATGCTGGTGGGATTGCACCAGCACCATTGCATGCGACTTGACCAGAGCCGCAGTCTGCGGTGCCACAAATAAACTTTCCTGAGGCATCTGTGGAGCACTGGGTCCGGCCCCAGAAGCGGCCGGACCATGGAGAAGGGACATCCAAAGATGAGGAGGCGCCTGATGCTAACTCGAATCCAGTTGAAGATAATTGTGCACCACTCCCAGTTAGGGCTCCTGGCCAAACTGTGTAGGGGCAATGGTTTGTGAATGTGAATGTAGCTGAATTAGCCCCTGCATGTCATGGAAAATGAATAGGTTCAATGATTTTATGGTAAACATGAAAAAAGAAAAATGAATTCTAAATCAGTACAAAATAATGTTATTAAAATAGTTAATCATATATCAAAACGTGTTCGAATCCTCAACTTGATCATCAAAATCGTACTGTTGGTTTCAAGTCTAAACTTAATCATTTTCCTAACATAAACCATAAACGCTAAAAAACAGGAAAATTTTATTTTTCTTGTGCTAATACCAACACAAATTAAATCCAAACTCAAATATCCAAACATGGGCTTAGCCAAGTTAGCCGGAACGGATGTGCTTCCCGTTCTACACCCAAGTTCGAATCCCTCTCCCCTGAGTTTAGATTAGGGTTGTATCCAATAAAAAAATAAAAAAAATCCAAACACTTGGTTATAAGCACAACATTAACACAAAAAATATTAATAGAGGATCCTAATTTCATACACAATAACATAAACAAAAACCCAACAAAAAAACCTAATGCTTTCTTACCTGATAGGAAGACAGTGACCAAAAGAAGAGAGAGCGAAGTTTGAGATGCCATGGTTGAGTGGTCTGAAGTATTTGCTGCTTTGGATCTAATTTGCCGATGCTTTGGGTGATTGAGAACCCAAGAGGTGGTGGGGTTTAAATAAGGCTATAAGCCCTGAGAATTGGCTTTAATTAAAAGGAGAAAAAAAAATGGAAAAAAAGGAAGGAAAATAGTGCATGCATCAAAGCTGGCATGCTTGCCCATAAATTGGTTCATTGTATTTTATATTTCTAATGGATATCATCTCCAGAAAAGGAAAATTAAGTGGGCTGCGTTGAATTTATAAAGAAATGCGTGAATTTCTTGATTTGTTTTGCTGATTAAATCCCTTACTTTGTGCTAATTACTGCCAAGTGTTACATAGGACCCCAGTCTTATCTAAACTAAAAATAAAAAACAAACGAAAGAAAAATAAACCATTAATTAATTTTGATCATTTTTCGTGATTGAACTAATACGACGGGTTTTGATTTGATTTTAAAACTAAAAAAGTGTAATTTTAAGCTAAATCATAGTCAGTTTAGTTTGATTCGATTTGGTCTATATGAAAACCGCATAAAACGAACCAAATCACCTATACTAATTTATTTATTTTGGCACTTAACGTTTTCTCATTGGTTATTTATTATTATGTTTTATCCCACACATCGGCATCAATTTGTAATATATGTTAGTTTGCTATTTTGGTGAAATATTTGATGTGATTGTTTCAACATTCAAGTATAAAGTTGTGGATGACAACAACAACAAAAAAAAAAAAAAAGTAAAAAAAAAAAAAAAGAAAAAAAATGTAATGATTCATTTCACTTTACTAGATTTGGAAAGTGTATACATACAAGTGTAATGTTTCATTTCACTTTACTAGATTTGGAAAGTGTATACATACAAGTTCTGCGCAATTTCATCCAAATCAGAGATCGTTTAGCCACTTGAATATATTGTGAACATTTCCTTCGTTATCGAAAACATCGTGTTCCTATAAGTTTTATTGCTTATTCGATGTCAAAGCACTAGGAACTATCAACTATAGGGAAATGCAAAAAATTTATTAACCGAGGGGGCAAAGTTTATTATCTTCCATGCAGAGTATGCGCTTCCGACTTTCTTACAACACCATACTATAAACTAAGATTTCATTTAACAAAGCCAGGAAGCACTAGCAGCTACAGAGCAATACAAGAAGCGTATTGATAAAGGGGACATAAGTTTACAACACCTGCCTGAGAATGAGGTAAATTATTTCCATCGCAGCCTTGAATATGTGCTCCAATTTCTGTCCATAAACATTGAAGATTTTGAGCATACTTAAATAAAGGATCATACATCATGTCAACTGAATAAGATTTTGTTTAGAAAACAGCCAGGAAGCACCAACAACTATATGGAAATGCAAGGAGTTTACTGATAAAAGTTTACATCACCTGCTTAAGCATGAGGCTGTACATTATCATTCCAAATGCAGCCTTGAAACCATGTGCTCTGACTTCTGTCAATGGAAATGAAACATTGTAAGCATAATTAAAGAAAAATATAGTAAAGGGTGTTAACTGAATATATGTCGTGGCTCAGACCGATTGACATAAAGTATGCAGTATTTCTAAGGGCCAGGAGATATATAGGTAAATAATTTTCAGGTTCTTCAACTGTCAGCCTAGAATCTCAGTGACTCGGCCTAGAAAGTATACGTGCATTTCACAAGCCAAAAATATAATAAACAATTTAAACAGGCCCAGCCTTGTCAGCAGGCCTTGAATTTTCCCAAATTGAACAAATGAAGAAGGTTAGTATTAGGGTGGTGATTTTCCCACTCCCTTTTTGTCCACTTACACTCCGTTTTGTTTTTTAATAGTTTTTACTATAACCAAAAAAGGAGAGTAAGTGGACAAAAGAGGAGTGGGAACATACAATTTCTAACAAAGGGAGTGTAAGTGGATAAAAGAGGAGTGAGAAAATCAGCTCCCTAGTATTATCATCTAATCATAGTCCTAGTTCTAAGGTTAATGCTTTACCATTTCTAACTTCTCTGTCACCATATGGAAAAAAAGAACAAGAAAAGAAAAAGCAATATGTCACATGAGCAGTATATTTTGCCAACTGAGATGTGTCAAACTTGCACACATTAGTTTGATGTTGCTCATTGTTGCATCTCAAGATTAGAGCTGAGTATTTTCAACTAGGAAAAACTATAACAAAATTGAAGTTCTAAGGCCCCGTTTGGGATTGCTTTTTTTCGCCAAAAACCTGCTTCACTTTAAAGTTAAGCAGTTTTAGGTGTTTGGTAAAAATAAAATATCTCGATTATTTTAAAAGCAGTGGCCTTTTGACAGCAGCTTTTAAAAGCAGGCTATGGGTTGCTTTTCAAAGCTGCTTTCAAAAGAAGCAGAGATGAACCTTTAATGAATTTTTTTAATTCCCAAAATACCATCATTCATTTTAAAAAATAACCACCTCCACTTCCACATCCAACTCCACCACTTACACTACCACATTCACTACCTCCACAACCACCACCGTCGCCACTGCCACCACCACCACTACCACCTCCTTCACCACCATCAGCTCCACCACCATCAACTCCACCACCACCACCACCACCACCACCAACAACAGCAACATCACCACCGTCCAAACTTCCCCTTCCAGCTGCTCGAAAAGAAGGAGTTAGATCAAGAAGCCGCCTCCTGCTCTAACTCGACCTCCCCCTACCCTTCAAAAGCCATCACCACTGTGGACCCTGCGACCGCCACCACCACCCCCCCCACAACACCGACAGCAATCCCAAACTGGGCCTAAGTCTGCTGCTGCAATAAATTACTAATTCACTACAATTTTTCGCTTAACTTTTTATTTTTCAATTTTAATTTTCTGCAAGTTACTATCAGAATAAGGCAGCAGTAGCAACTGACCTGCTCAGAATGAGGCAAATATTTCCCATCAAATACTATGGCTACCCGGTCCTTGCCATCCACACCTTTAACTTTGTCGACTGAACAGTAGAAATCTATAGCTGACATACTATACGTAAAACAAGAATGATCAGTTAAAGAAATAAAAAACCAAAATAGATTTTTAAAGCCAGGTATATTGGTTAAAACATGTCATATACAAATTTCACAACAGTTTTTGCAACAACCAACTCAGCAAAGTTCATCAAGAACCAGTATGTCAAAAACTTTATTCTAATTCTATAGCATTTTAAATCAAGACACAAAGACACAAAATGAAACTTACATGCCATCACCAAATTCCTCGTTGATAATCTCCTTGATGCTTTCACCAAAATGCATAGCTGCTTCATTCAACCTACAGAATTGAAAATCAGCAAATGGAAGGCATACCAGCTAGAAGGATAATTCATAACTCTGAGGAAAGAGTAAGCTCCTTCGACCTATTCTTAACATCAAGATCTTTGTAAAATATGCAGGTAATGAATGTGGCTATCATGGCGGGTGTTGCATATTACACCTTCCAAGGAACAATATCAGCTTTGCACTGAATTTCAATATCATCATTGTTTCATATATTTTATCAATATTTTCATTATTACACATCTCTTACATTCCAATTGGATTCATGATACTGTGGGACTCAAACCGTTTGAGACAGTCAGGAAAAGAAATGCTGGAAAAAAGTTGGGTTCCATAGTATCTTCTTTTAGCCTCAATCACATCCATTTTAACACAAGAAAACACGATCCACTTCACCATCAATATACCAGTATCAATATGATAACCCATATAATCCACAGAGACCTTCATCATAGTCTTTAAGTCTTAAATCAATGCTTACAAACAATTAAGAATATGGTTTTATATATTACATATGTATAAGCCATCCAAACTGCTTTTCATCACTCCCAAACAAAAACCCATTTGATTATCAGAAGTTAGAACCTAAACTCAAGACAAATTAAAGGACACAAATTCAGATGACCCACCTGTAAATAGTGGGATCTTGGATCAAATTAGGGTCATAGGACCTCAAGGGTGGAATCATCATCTCCTTAATGAGCTCTTGGGGCAGGCCAGGCAGGGCAGCCTGCAACTTAGGGGCAGTTTCAGGCTTGAGCTGAGCTTGGCGCCTCAGAAGCTGAGCAACATACACGTTGGTGAGGCCTGTCTCCTTCGCTAGCTGACTATAGGACTTGCCAGACTCGCGCTTCACAGACTGAAGCTGATGGGTTATGATTGCTTTGTTCTCAGCCATTTCAGTTTTCTTTATCACTCTAAGTCCCTGTGTGCTTTTATAGACACATACGCACGGTCACTGTTGGAGCTTTACAGATTTCTAAGAGGGAAGCCCAATGATGTTGGGTTGGATTGGGTTTCTTTGGATAAGTTTTGCTTCACATGATTTATGTGGATAAGTTTTCGCGGCTAATCTTTATATAATTTCTTCACTAACTCTTGAAAGAAATTTTAAGTTTGAATTCTCTTTTTCTTTGATACTTTTTTTTATATACTTTTATATAATTTTTTTGGTTGCAATTCTACCAATTTTAATAGTGTTAAGCGAGTTTAAGTGAGAATAGTTTTAAGTAAGCAATCCTTGAGACGAAAAAAAAAATTGTTAAACTTCGCTTTAATGATGAAAAAGTGGAATTATGTTCATCTCAAGTGAATTCCATTCTTTATTTTAGGACATTTCCTATTGAGATGAGCGATAATATATTAAACACACATACACTACACGGATGCTAGGACTCGAACCTAGAATTGATCCAAACCACATAGTGGGCCCTTTGCAAGTGAATTCCATTCATTGAAAATGCATCATGTAACCAACATCCAGAAAAATAAAAAATGAAGAATTCAACAAATTGAATAAAATTCTAATGTCCTTAAAAGAAAAAAAAGGCTAAGAAAAGAAAAAAAAAAAGGCTAAGAAAATAAAAAAAAGGCTAAGTTTTTTTGTTTTAAAACATTCCTAACTTTTTGTTCAAAAAGTCATTGTAAGTGAAACATATTAGCAAATTAGCAAGAAGATTATTCAAGATTCAAGCAATAACATACTAGGAATGGCCACACATATTTTAATGGGAGTTTCACTAAAACACCCAAAATAGGAGCTGAAATTATAAAAAAACCCAACACCCAAAACACTTTATAAACACACCAAAAACCCATCATTACACACACTCAAAACCCATTTATAAACACACCCAAAAAATATACAATTGTTGACTTTGGGGTTGATTTTGGGTGTGTTTCTATGTTTAAATAGTGTT